CTCGGGAGGCAGAAGCAGGGGGAGCTCTGTGAGTTCGAGACCAGCCTGGTCTACAGAGCTAGTTCCTGGACAGGCTCCAAAGCCACAGAGAAACCCTGTCTTGAAAAACCAAAAAAAAAAAAAAAAAAAAAAAAAAAAAGTTAATTAGTTAATGTGTCTCACACTCCTGGAAAGCCTTATGTTATTAAAGCATCTCAGATGCCATATTCTGCAGATCTCTGACGTGTTGAAGATCACCTATCTAAAATATATCTCTTTGACCTTGAAAACATACCTAACATGACTCTAAGTTTGATTATGGATGAGTAGCTACTAACCTGTATTTCTTAATTATGCTTTACATTTTTAAATGACCTGCAAAAGTACAATACCTTAAACAAGAGTAGAAACAAATGTATAGTATAACAAAAATGACCTTAAATTGGTATCACTATATAAAAATCCATACCAATGTAAAATGTTTGAGACGAATAGTTGCCTTTTAGTTCAGATTCAATAATCTACCCTTTTATCCTATCATTCTCATATCTCCCTTTTCTCTTTTCAAAAATAGATCCCTGAATCTAATCTCAGCTTTTTTGATGTTGTTGTTGTTCAGCTTTTTCCCTGATCATGACCAATAACAACTTGTACCCACCTCCCCTAAACTATGGTGAACATCCATAACTCACTGAATGACCAAAAACTACACACCCCACCTCTTGGGAATGTGGGCATCATGTTCTTTGGACTGCTTCCTATTGTCTGGGGGAGATGGCTTCTTTGGAGGACCCTGAGAAAATTGGGTTAATTGTTGAGTCCTGGGAGAGTTAGCTACATTATTTTTTGTTTAGTCTCTCTGTGATGGGAAAGTGTAGGGCTTATCTGAAGTCTTGGCTGGAGCGTCTGTGAGACTGGACAATCTCGGGAGCTTTGAAGTTGTTCTGGATGAAGAATTAAGAGAAAATAATAACGGGTATTTTGAGAGGCTGGACCACCCAGGATACTGATGTCTGGTCCTGTTTTTTTTTTTTTTTTCTGAAAACACACCAACTTTTAAAGGTAACATACATATCTGCCCCAACACAAGTATAAAACGTGCAATGTGCATAAGTCAGCTAAAGATGATTTTCTGTTTTATGTTTGAGCAGGTAAAATGTATCTGTCAACCTAAGTCCATTTCAACTGCATAACCGAGCCTCCATCCACGCCCTATGAAAGGAGGCATGTAATAAATCATGAGGACTCTGTAGCCAACAAGGTTTATCATGGCTCATCCAGTCTCAGAGCTGTTCCCGTGTGGAGGGATCAGCATATATGCCACCTGTCCTGTAGTCTTCCTTTGTTTCCTTCTTCATGTATGTGGACATGTGTGTAGATTTTTAGGAGGTCGACCCCAATCAAATCTGATCTTCATTAATTTTGAAGAGAGCCATAAATTTTTGTTTCCTGTGGAAACAAAGGCATAACCTCTGCCCCCAATACACCCTATTTTCTGACTTCCAATTTGAAGCTACTACATTCTTAAAATATATAGGTCGGTTTAATTTAGCAGTTTTCCTAATCTGGTGTCTCTGAGCAGCTACTGTCTTTTTTTTTTTTTGTACATTAGCATTTTAAAAATTCAAAGTCAGTAGAGCACCGTACAGGATCAGACACCCTGTGTATTTTCCATTTTTCTGTGTCCTATTTCTTTTATAGTACTTCTCTCTAAAGACTTCATTTTTTTTAAGCGATTTATTTATTTTTCTATGACTGTCTATACCTATTTTTTTTTCCTTTCTTCAGCATGGAAGCACATTTTTGAGCACGCTATAGGCTATTTGGAGGTTTTCTTGGCCTGGGCCTGATTTTAGGCACGTCTGCAACATTCTCTGACCTTGCGAGCCAAACCCTAAACTGTCAGACCAGCTGCCCCCCTGGCCAGCTTAACACATTGACCCCTGTGGTTGGCTCCGCCCACTTCAAGTCCTCAGGCAGCGGGAAGAGCAGCGCCTAAAGGTCCCAGCTTTGAATGGTGTTTTGACATATGCTCAAACCTAGTGCAGAGTAGCAAGTGGCTGGCCGGCTACTCTAGTTAGTGCTTTGCTGCACAGTCGGGCCTCTTAAAGGAGCCGTGACTTTGACTCCGAATGCGTAAGTTACCAGGTCTTATGTGGATATACATGGCTGGATGTTGGGTGCAATTTGTAGTCAGGCTTCCCTTTGGGCAGGCAATTCACCAATAATGACATGGAGACTTATTAATTATGAAGTTTGGCCCTTAGCTAAGGCTTGTCCCCTTAGCTCTTGTCACTTAAATTAACCTGCTTCTATTAATCTACGTTTTACCATGTGGCTTTTTACCTTTCTTTCCTTCTGTATGTCTGACTCCCTCCGTGTCTCCTTGGCCTCTCTCAGACAACTAGATTCATCTCTAGTTTCCTCTCTTTGCCTGGAAGTCCCACCTATCTATCCTGCTTAGCTATTGGCCATTTAGCTCTTTATTAAACCAATCCAAAGGTGCCTCAGGCAGAGACGCATCTTTTACACTGTAAACAATTCTTCTTCAGCAAAGGAGCTCACCCAGGATTATTCGACCAAGACATAGTGAACTTGGTTTACTGCCTTTTCGTTATTCCACAGATGCCATCGAGGGAGGCAGGGGGAGGAAGGAAGAGGGAGGGAGAAGGGAGGCAGGGGGAGGAAGGATAGTTCTCATTTCAGAATTTGCTGGAAAGGGAAACCCTGCTTTAACTCAACTTCACAAATACACCAGGCCTAATCCCTCACATGGTCCAAATTGAGCTCAACCTTTTCTGCTATAAAAAGCAAGGCCACCTGGCATCCAGGTGAATGCTTGCTGGTCTCCGGAGTTCCGAACAAAGGCTCAGGAGACCCCATGGTTTCCAGAGTCCTTTTTCCCTTTTTGTGGAGACTAGCGGGGCCCATGAGAAAGGTGAAATCAACTCCATTGTCAACGCTCTTCTAAAATGAAGAGATACAGGGGTATTGTGAGACTCAGGGGTCCTGCTTCTCTTTTCTTCTTGTGACTCTCCTGTGTGTGATGTTGGTGCTTAGCATGTTTTCAGTTGATACATGTAGTGGCTTTCTAGGGCAACACTAACTAGGTGACTTAAAACAACATAGAACTGTTCCTTCACAGTCTTGGAGGGGGGAGAGCTTCTCAGTGCACAGCAAATTACAGAACTAGCGAGTGGCCCCGTCCAGTCTTCAAGGTCAGAGTGCACAGCGCCCTGCCTAGCTGTGCATTTGATTTCCAAGCCACAGTCTTTCTTCTAGCTCACAATACCCTTGTACTTCTTAGTTTAGGTGAGTGTTCATAATACAACTGGCCTCCACCTTTTTCACAGAAGGAGAAAGGACTTTGGGAACCATGGGGTATCCTGAGACTTTGTTCAGAACTCCAGAGACCGAAAAGTACTCACCTAGAGTCCATTGGCCTTATTTTATTTTTTAATAAAAGTTTCAGCTCAAAGGCTCCGCAGATCTTTGCTCTGATGGACACTGGTGAGTCATGTGGGGTACACAGTACCCCTTCTCATCTAGGAGCCAGGCCAGGGGAACCCGGCAGTCACAATCCATGGAAATTCTAGTGCAGGTAGCTTGTGGCATGGTGAATTTTCCCCAACAACAGTGGATTAGGTTTATTATCTAAAATTAAAACTGGTTAATGCATGATATGTGTGTGCATATAAATATTTACAAATGGTATTTTATATAATTTTATTTAAAGAAAATTTACATTTGTTTTATATAGGTATATATTTGTGTATTAGTTATAGATAATATGTACCAGTTATACATAATACTTAAAATACAGAAGTAAAGTTTTTAGATTAAAGACTAGACTCACATGCAAAAATATAAAAATTTTCAGAAAGTATTTTTTACCAGTTGTATTATGATTCTCCCGGGGGAACTCCTTCCCACCCCTGCAGGAACTTTGGGCAGGTTGTGTTCCACCAACCTGCTTGTAACACCATTTCTGGCATAGAGATTATGTTAATAATAAATATATCTTAGAATCTATTTGTTACATGGTCAAAGATAAAGTTGACTTTCTCTTTTGAATAAACAATGCCAACCTTGCCAAGTCTTAGAGTCTTGAGTGGTAGTCGGAGTCCAGGTTTAAACAAGACAGTCTGAATGACAGCCACATACTCTCTGAGAACTTAGAGATGCAGCTGGGTCATTTCCCAGCAAGTGTTGAGAGGCAGAGCTAGCAGCAGGAAGGTCGCTTCTTAAAACTCAAATTCAGGGTTCACTGAAGCAAGCGCCAAATAATGTTTGAAAGGTGACGAGAGCTTCCTGGATTTAAGGGAAGCTTCTAAGTCATTTAGTAATAGAACAATGAAAATAAGGTCAATTTCTGCCAGGAAGACGAAAACATTTAACTTTGCATCTGTATTTCCGTAGAAGGCAGCAGAGGCAAATAATACGGACAACCAAGACTAACGTGCAGCGTGGCGTGCTCAGTGCCGTCTGTAGAACTCGCCTTCTGACCCCGTGTTCCACCCTAATCGCTCAGCTTCCTCCCAGTGCAGTTTTCTGCAGGGTGGCCCTCAGACCTGTGTCCGCACCCACTCATCCTTCTCCTTGCTGCTTTTTCAATCAGTTCTCTTGTGTCCCACAGAAGACAACGACTTGCTTATTCTTTAAATCCCATGATTGATTGCCCGTCTTTGGAACACAATATGGCACTACCATCTCCCTCCTGGTTCATCAAGGAGCACTCTCAGTGACCATCCCGTGCTTTTTTTGTTTTGTTTTGTTTTGTTTTGCTTTTCGAGACAGGGTTTCTCTGTGGCTTTGGAGCCTGTCCTGGAACTAGCTCTGTAGACCAGGCTGGCCTTGAACTCACAAAGATCCGCCTGCCTCTGCCTCCAGAGTGCTCATCCCATGCTTTTAAAGGCGGGCCTCTTTCTACGCCAGCACCTAAGCACTTGGGTTTTGTTCCACCAGGAATCCCCTCCTTGAAATGGTTGGACCCTGGCCTCTTCTTATCAATTAGGTCTCAGGGGCTTTCCCTAGTGTGCTTGCCAAAAGGAGTTGCCACCTCGTTCCAATAGTCTCCCGTTGTCCCGCAGGAGCTAGTACCACGTGACGCTGCATTGTTCTCTTTTCTATGCCCGTAGCTCGCCCCTGGAGAAGGAACACACAATGAAGACCGAGAGTTTGCCTTCCTCGCTCTGCTGGTTCGCTGTTGTCTGCTAGATGTAAATTAAAGTCACCTGGGAAAAGGAGATTTTTTTTTCGTTGAGGAATTGTCCCCCCCCCCCCCCCCCCACAGAGTGGTCTGTGGGAAAGCTTGTGAGGTCTTGTGCGTGCGAGCACGTGCGCGCGCACATGTGATTACCGGCTGAAGTGAAAGAGCCCAAGCCCATTGTGGGCAGGTGCTACCTCTTAGTTGCATAAGGGCAGGGGGGTCCTGGGTTGTGCAATAAAACAGGCTGAACAAACCATGGAGACCAAGCAAGTAAGCAGTGTTCCTCTCTGTCTCTGCTCCAGTTTTCAGGTTCTGCCTCAAAGTTCCTGTCTTGAGTTCTTGCCTTGGCTGCCCTCTACGTTGAACTGTAACCTGTAAGCCAAACAAACCCTACCTTCTCCAAGTTGATTTGGTCAATGAGGTGGGATTGGCAGGATAGTAAGGAACGTTAAAAAGAAAAAAAAAAAGTCCTTCTGTGGAAACCATTTCAGGTTCTGGACCAAGATGCCCTGAAGGTATTAAGGGGAGGAGCTACAGCATGTTACCCCCACATTCTAAGAGAAGTGACGTTTGGGATCTTGCTTCTGTGATGCCGGAAGTGGGTCACTGGCTTGGATGTGACCATGGCAACAGCAGCAGCAGAGGAGAGATGCAGGCGCTCATGAAGGTTTGCTGAATCCCAACCTTGGTTTCTTGGTGTGCTGTCTCAGCTAACTGACCTCTGTGGGTTCAGATTCCAGGGCAGTGTAGATGGATGTTTCTTTGGGCCACCAGCTCACAAACAAACCACATGAAGGCTTATTATTAATTATGAAAGCTTGCCTATAGCTTAGGCTTATTTCACTAGCTCTTAGAACTCACAATCAACCCATTTCTATTCATCTATGTGCTGCCACATGGCCCGTGGCTTTTACCTCTCCCGTTGCATGTCTTGCTCCCTCTGTGTCCCACTGGTGACTCTGCCTTTCTTCTTCCCCAAGACTTCTCTGTCCCCAGAAGTCCCACCTAACTCTTCCTGCCTAGCTGTTGGCCATTCATCTCTGTAGTAAACCAATCCCGGGGACACACTTTCACCCACTATAAAGGAATAGTCTTCAAAAAAGCAGTGGGAAGAGAATGGAGGCCACATTTCACAGTGATCTTACAGAATCATAGCGCAAGCACTCAATATGACCTTCAGCTCACAGACGTGCTCAATAAACACGATTACTACCATTATATTGGGATCAAGTGAAGGATTTATCTAGTTATTCTTTATCAATAAAAAAACGAGAGTCAAATATCAGGGTAAGATTCTGAAAGATCAGAGAAGGAGCAGCTACCAGTGACTTCCCCTTCTGTTCCTTCCTTCAAAGAAGCTGAGATCCTCTCTCAGCCCCACCTTACCAGTTCCTGTCTCCTATCTATCCGCAGTCCTCCAAACCTCTATGGTTAATCTTGATCAGGAAGTGGCTAGCTCTAACCTCTAACTCAAAGCTAGCTTTATTTTCAGAATGAAATCCAAGTATCACACTACAGTTAAGAGACACAGAAGATGCCTGACCTATAATGGATTGACTACCGTGGGACATGTAGGAGCAGAGTGGACGACCTGGGACTGCCTACTTCAGGGTCCACATTTCCCAGCCAAGCTTAAGGAATGGAAAAGGCAGGGCGTAGCTCCTCTCAGCTGGAGCTCTGCCCTGTGATTCCTGCCTCGTCTTTCTGGCTCCACCTGTTGAACTGAAGCGGTACTTTTTTATTTAAAAAAAACGGATAGTTTTGCGTGGCCTGATTTGCCTTTTAATCTGTGATTTTTATCCACCTGTGCTGGCTCGTTTAAGTCAACTTAACTCGGGCAAGAGTCATCCGAGATGAGAGAACCCCAACTGAGTAAATGCCTCCATAAGATCACATGGTAGGCAAGCCTGTGGGGGGTGGGGGGCATTTTCTTGATGAGCAATTGTGCGTGTGTAGGTGTGTGGGGGGAGGCAGTGCCATCCCTGGGCAGGTGGTCCTGAGTTCAGTATGAAAGCAGGCTGAGCAAGCCATAGGAGGCAAGCCAGTAAGTAGCAGCCCTCCATGGCCTCCGCATCAGGTTCCTGCCTGGCTTGAGTTCCTGTTCTGACGTCCTTTAGTAATGGACTACAGTGTGGAATTGTAAGCCACATAAACCCACCATGCTTTTGGTCATGGTATTTCATCGTAGCAACAGCGAACCTAAGACAGAAGTTGGTATCAAGGTATTGCTGTGACAAATAGCTGTGACAGACCTGACCGTATTGCTCTGGGGAGGATTGCAGAAGGACTCTGGAACTTTGTGGGATGTTCTGTAGGATCTCAGAAGATAAGAACGTTGAAAGCAATGAAGACGATGGAGGTCTGGCTTGTGAAGTTTCAGAGGGAAGCAAAGACTCCACTGGGCCATTTCTGTGAAGAATCTGTGTGTCTGGTCAGCTGGAGCTGAACAATTGGCTGTGATTAATAAGAGACCAGAATCACTAAAATCAAACCTTCCCCCCTCCCCCCGGGACAGTGGATGCTGGTCAGCTCGGGCCGAGGATCAGCTTTGGTTAAGAAGAGGCCACACATGCCAGTTGTATTTGGAGGCGGTTAAGGTTGTACCTTGTGCTGGTAGCCAGGCTTGACCGTGAGTAAGAGTCACCCAGATGATACTGGTTTTGAAGGCGTGCAGGGGTCATGGGGAAAAGCCGAGGCTTGGCACTGGGAGAGGCCGGGAGAGGCTACTGTTGAAAGTGCAGCCCGGTTGCAGCAGAGACCTCAGCGTTTTGAGATGCAGAACCATGGAACTGTGGCTAACAACAGCAGCAGCAGTGGAGTGGGGGTGGCCCAAGCTCAGCAGACAAACTGTGTGTACTGCAGAGGGCAGAGCTACAGACGTGGTTCAGGCCCATGGAGGATCCCAGAAGATTGTGAGTAAATCCTAGATATTGAACGCTGAATTATTTACACCGTTGGCATTTGGTTTTGCTTTGTTCAGATTGTGCCTGCATTTTGGTTCCTCCCTCTTGCAGTAAGAAAGTATTTGACTTACGGTTGATTTCCTAGGAGCCCACAATTGAGTCTTTGAATTTTTTAAAGAGACTTTGGGTATTTACAGAGACCGGGATTTGAAAGTTTTGGAATTGGTAAAGACCATGGGACTTTTAAGTGTGTAGTATGTTTTGTATTTGTGATATTTATTAATCTGCAATCTTAGGATGAAGCGCAAAAAGGAGAGGCTACGTCTTAAAGTGTTGTACGTCAAGTTGACAAGGTGCTGATGGTACAGGCTAGTTTTGCGTCAGCTTGTCACGGGCTAGAGGGAGTCATTTGAGAGGAGAATATGCCTCCGTAAGATTGGACTGTAAACAAGCCTGTAGGGCATTTTCTTAATTAGTGATTGACGTGGGCGGTCCCAGCCTATTGAGAGTGGGGTCATGCCTGGGCTGGTGGTCCTGGTTTCTTTAAGAAAGCAGGCTGAGCAAGCCATAGAAAATAAGTCAGTAAGTAGCTCCCCTCCATGGCCTCTGCATCAGCTCCTGCCTTCAGGTCCCTGCCCTGCTTGAGTTCCTGTTCTGATTTCCCTCAGTGATGGACTGTGATGTGGAAGTGTAGGCCAAACAAACCCTGTCCTCCCCAACTTGCTTTTTTGTCATGGTGCCATAGTGACTGTAACTAAGATGCCACCTAAACACATCTTACATCCATAGTAACTGGGTCATGATGGTGTCCCAGATGAATGCAGGAGTAAGGCTTTACTCAGTGTCATCCAGCGAGTGTCTGTGGTGGTTCTGTTACTTGCTACTTGCTTCTTGCTTTGGTGAAACGGATTATCAGTTATCAGACCACAAGCAGGATGTGGTCACTGGGCAATAGAGGATTCATATTATGGCTCAGAGAGTCTGAGGGGTCTAGAAGCATAGCCCGAGGCTCAGGGTCTGCTCAGCTTCCCTGGCTTTCTTTTGGGCTCTGTGTCCTGTCCTCATTGCCTTCAGCAAATTTTCTGTCAACCTGCTCCTTCCCCTTAGTTCTATGAAGAATCCTTTGGTGGTGTTCCTCCATTTGCCACTAGGGGTCAGCACATCTCAGGGAGTAAAATACACTGGACCTGGACACCTGTTCTTTCGTCACTAAATTAGGGTGGGAAGGGGCAAGAGATCATGAAGAAAATTGCTACCTCTTAAAACACTGCCCATTGCCAGGGTACCTGAGCGGCTCCGTGCCCCAAAATCCTTCCAGCATGTACGTACCAGGAACAGCCTGCAAATTTCCGTCATTTTGGCTACTGAAATAATTTATACTCAAGACCATAGGCAAAAATGAGGATGGTTGTGTAACCGCCTCATGGAAGGACATATAAGGGAACAAGCTTCCTTTCTTTATAAAGTTAGTCGTGTACTCTCAAGAGCAGAGCGTCAATGACTTTACCCTCTGCTGGAGATGCCACTGAATGCCACCTCTCACTGCGCTTCTGCTGGCCACCTAGTAATTAGGTTTTTATTGACTGCTACTAATGGGATTTGTCTCTTAGAGTAAAGGAAGGCACATAGAAGGAATGCGTGCTGGGTTAAAGGAAGTTTTCTGCTGCCTCTGAGAACAGACTCTTTTGGAACATCCTAGGACATTTCCTCTACTGAGGTCTCCTGAGAAGCAGCTCATACCCGTCAATGGTACCAGGACACAGACACTGGAGAACCGAGTATTCTTTGTAGTGGTTGGCTCCTTACAATATAGGTCTTGTGCAAGGGAAAGGGGGTGGATGAGGAAAGGAGGGGAGGGGGGAGCACTCCAAAGGTGTCTGTCTGTTGGGGTTGGGATAATGGGATGCCACCTCCCAGGAGAGGGGATTTCAAAGCTTCGGGCCTGCACCCCACTCCCCACCCCTCACCCAACAGAGTTTGCTTGCTGCCCTCTGTAGTGAAGCTGAATAACGTTCTAGCCTGTGCTCCTATTCCCCCCCCCCCCCCCCCCCAAACACAGAGTTTGCTTGCTGCCCTCTGTACCGGAGCTGAATAATGGTTTTCAGATAGAAGGCATCATTCCAATCTCTGCCCTGTACCCTGTTGGAGCTCCCTCTTCCTCATTCTTTAAGGACATGTGACAACTTTCGGGGCATAGCCAGGTAATCCGGTATGGTCTTCGTGTCCCAAGATCCTTTGCATATGATGCCTACAAAGACTTTCTCCCATAAGGTAACATTGTAGGTTTCACGGAAGAAGACAGGGTGTCTTTGGGAACTGTATTTTAGCTATGGCAGTGGAGAGCGGAGACTCTGATTTATATCTAGACTTGGAACCTAGCAGACAAGAAGGGAAATCACCTGAGCAGAAACTGTGCCAGCACCTCCCCTTCTCTGCCAAACAGGGCATGCTCAGAGCCTTGCAAAGCCCCACACTGAGCAGGAGTGAGAGGCCTGGCTCCCACATTCTCAGTGTGGGGGAAAGATGACCTCAGCATGCAAGTCTCAGGGGGTCAAAGGTGTGGCAGGTGTTGCCCGTCCCCCGGCTGTACAGGATTTCAGCATCATCTTCCAGCGATGCCATGCTCTTTAGGAGAGTTAACAGAATTATCCAATCATTTAGTTAAAAGCATGTCAAAAGGCCTGCAGGGAGATCAGCCCTGCAGGGGTGAGGACCAGCATTTAGAGCTTCAGAAACCATGCAGAAGTTGGTTTGGGCCGTGTGCCCAACACTGGGGGAAAGCAGAGATGAGCAGCTCCCTGGGGCTCGTTGACCAACAAGCCTAGAAGGATGGAGGAACTCCAGCTTCCGTGAGAAATCCTGTCTCGAAAAATAAGATGGAGGTGATGAAGGAAGGAAGGAAGGCAGGCAGGCAGGCAGGCAGGCAGGCAGGCAGGCAGGCAGGCAGAGCTGACTCCATATCCACACAGCTGCACGTACAAACAAGCATGCCCGTACACCATAGAAACAAATAAATGCCACACCAGAGGCCCTTAAAATAATAAACATAGAGCAGGTAGGTTTTTACTTCGGAGCTGAAGACAGAAGAAAGAGATGGATTAGATCAGCAGCTCTTCAACCTGTGGGTCGCCATCCCTTTGGCAAACCTCTGTCTCCAAATATATTTACAGTACAATTCATAAGAGTAGCAAAATGACAGTTATGAAGGAGCAACAAAAATAATTTCATCGTTGGGGTCATCACAATGTGAGGGTGGTGGCATATTAATCAGCCTCATGTATTGACATGAATAATACACGTGATACTCTGTATTAAAAGGTTGCAGCATTGGGAAGGTTGAGGACCACTGAATCAGGTGAAGAGGTGACTGGTTTACAGGACAGCTCAGATTCTGAGTCTTTCGATCATTTTGGAGCCTCGGGTGTTGTGTGTGTGTGTGTGTGTGTGTGTGTGTGTGTGAAATGCCATCAATATGATCTTCTTCCTTAGGAGTCCCAAAGCGAAACTAGAATCTGGGGTGTTCAATCCCCATCCCTGCTTCTTGCAGGCAGGCTAGTCCTGTGATCTCTTCCCTACAGGAGAAGGGGCACTACTGCCCGGTCACTGGGGGTCAGTTCATGCTGTTTCCCTACAGGCTTTGCTCCGATGCTCAGTAGGAAGGGATTAAAATGAGCTACCACGGGAGAAAGTACAAAATGTTGACTCTAAAATTGTCCGGGGTTTGAGACTGTAGCTCTGTGATACAGTGCTCGTCCAGCATACACAAAACCGTGGGGGCCACGCCCAGTACCACCGCAATATTCTAAAGGAAGCTGATCACTGTCAACAGTTAGAGATCCCATACAACTCCTAAACCCCCGTTACAACAGTGCACAGGTGGGGTATCTCCCAGCCAGCCGTGTCTCAGTTCCCTGAGCACCCTGGAAGTCCTTCCTGTGCCCTGGCCAGGTCTCAGGCAATTCATGACGTCCTAGTGTTCTTGGTTCTCCTGAGACTACAACTCCTGCTGGCTGCCAGCCCCCTTCACTGAGGGGGAAGTTTGTGTTTTATTGTCTTACACTGATGCTGCAGGGATGTCACTTGCCACACTTAATTGAGTCCCTAATGCCCTTTATATTTAAGCCCCATCATGAGCTGACCTACAACAGAGAGGAGAAGATGCTCCAATCGAGGCTGAGGTGGTCCTGCGGACAACTGTGAGTGAATGGGTCACATAAGCATCTCCCAGCACTGGGTTTTCTTGTTTCCTCTGAAACCCTTGGCAATTTCCCTTGCTTTCAGCTGTGCCGTCGACTTCTGAAGACCATTTCCACCACGTTTCTCACTAATGAGTCATGCCATGCCTCCACTTTGTGTCCTCTAACGTGCGTGTTTCAGCGGAGGCTGGAGAAGTCACCTTGAGCAAACCGAGCCAGTGGGTGCCCACGGAACCTGAGATTCTGTTAATCTAATGAATGGCCGGGCAATCCTGTTGTGCCTGGGTACACTTGGGCTGGCAAAGCTGTAAATCCCTCATTTGCTTTTGCAAGGAATTATGTCATCGTAATTTTTTTTTAATAATGAATACCCACTCCACACATAACAACGTGTAGGGTACGACGCTTTACGGCGCTGGTTCTTCGCCTCCCTGAACACCCTGTAAGTTCTCCTGTCAGTGTGAAGCCCCAGGATGATCTTGCAGAAGCCACTTTACAAGGCAATTAGACTCACACACGGAGTTGAAGCAAAACACACAGAGTTGGGGAAGGGATGGCAGCGCCAGGAGCAACCGTGGGCGAGCTCGCACACACAGTGACAAGCGCGCCACGTGCACGTCTGTGGGTCACATGCACGCCTGCAGGACAGCAACTGTGAATTCTTGAGATTAGAGAATGGGTTCCAATTTTAGAGAGTGCAGAGATGTGAAGTCAAGGCGAAAGGCCGTGCCTCTTAGAATCGGTGCTAAAAGCCAAGCCGTTCCGTCTTTCTGCTTCTCGCGCTTCTTTCTCAACTTGAAGCGTTTTCTCCAGGGACTGATTGTACCCCTGATTGGATGGTGGGGTTAATTGACTTTGGGTTTTGGGGAGTGAATTATGTGCCCCATTCTGCTCTATCCAGATTTCTGCCTGAGTCATTGAGACAGCGCTCACCTAAGAACTAGCTGGAGATTCTCCATCCTGAGGCTGCCTGTCACTTTCCAGCCAAGACACTTATCAGCTCCCTCAGAAGCCCCTGGGTTATATTGCTCTCTGGATACTTCCCTGGCACGGCGGGGCCTTCTGGGAGCTACCGAAGTGTCCTGCTGGGATGCCATGAGATGCTCGTTACTTTAGTAATGTGCTGAGCCCGGTACACGATGATTGCCCGCAGAAAGTCGATGGAGTGCCTTACCGCGATAAGCCACACGGGTCAGTGATGCCCCGAATTCTCCTGTGAAAGAGGATGCCTGGCTCCAAGGAGACTGAATTGCACTGTGCTTCAACACAGCTGGAGGAGGGGAAGCTGGAGTGGCAATTCCCACTAGTTTTATCAGGAATTTTTCTCACCACTGGCCCAGAGCACAATATCACTGGAAAGGGAAGACAACATAAACAAACATGGGAAGAAGTTAAATCACTTACATAGCTCCCCAAATATTTTCCATATAGAAACATTTCGGTTTCCAGGGTTTTTTTTCCCCAATTGTTTTATTGTTCTAAAGTTCACAGATAACATTTATTATTGAAACCATTTTTAACTGAACGGTTCAGTGATGCAAAAATATTTATAATGTGGTGTAACCATCATCACCATCCACCTTTGTAACATTTTTTATCTGATAAACTGACGTCCAAAACCTATTAATAATAGCACCTTCATTTCCCTTTCCCTTTATCCCTGGCAAACATCATTCCACTGTCCAGTTTAATTGCCTTTTCCAAAAGAAATATTTAATTTAGAGAATGGTATAGCTGAACATTTTTATAGATGCTTAGAATTTGGGGGATTGGCATAATCATTGTTCATCTAATTAAGATGCAGTGTGATATTTTAACTTATGCACCGATCTAATCAGGGTGATGAGCAGCTCCCTGTCCTTATCATTTATTTATCTCTGGAAACTTGCAAGAGGAACCACTTCCGTCTAACTTTAGCTTCAGAACTCAGGAGGCTGCATCTTCAAGGATGACCAGACAATTAGTCTGGCTTCAAATTTTTATAACATGACTGAAACACTCATCTGATTAAGACAGGCTAATCTCAAATAATCTTTCTATTCGATTAACTTAAAGTCAACTCAGTGGGAATCTCAGTTGCATCTTCAAAATCTCCTCTGCCATAAAAGATCATGCTGTGACATCCCATCATAGTCACAGTCTTGCTCACAGGGGGCAAAGACTATGTAGGACTCTAAATAAGAAGCAAAATCTGAGGTCCATGTTAGAGTTCTATCTGCCTATATCCATCGAGCAATTTGAGATCTCTGCAAGGTAAATACCAGAAGGCGTGTCAGGAAAGGACACCAAAATAAACCTAACAGCTCAAAGCAAGAAGAAAGCTCAGAGAACAATAAGCAAAATACCAAAGGTACAACTCATAACTGGATGTCATACAATATGCTACAAACACGCCTACTCACATGGGGAACAGCAATCAATGTGTGTGGTGGTAGATACCCCATAGATACTGAAACATCCATGATAAATGAGGAAACTCAAAAGTTCATTGTCTCTCCTTCCTGCCGTGTGTGTGTGTGTGTGTGTGTGTGTGTGTGTGTGTGTGTGTGTGTGTTTGAGACAGGGTATCATGTAGCCCAGTCTGGCCTTGGACTCCTTTTCCTCCCTCCTCTACTTCTGAGTATGGACTCTGAATGAATGGCTTATCCTTTTATACTTTTAACTTTGAATTTAATTTGCATTTCTCTTTTTCCATGAAGTATCTTAAGGTTTTATAGAGGTTCATATAATTCATTTAACAATCATCCTACTTAGGAGCTGGTGGGATGGTGTGGTTAATGTGCATACCATGTAAGCATGAAGACCTGGTTTGGATGCCCAAGTTACCCATAAGAGCCGGGCATGGCAGTTTGTCCCAGCACTGAGATGACTGAGACAGACTGATTCCTAGAGATCATTGGCTTTGCCAGCTTAGCCAGTTGGAGAGCTATGGGTTCAGTGATAGACTTTATCTAAAAAATAATAAATAAATAAATAAATAAATAAATAATAAAAAATATGGCATAAAGTGATTGGGAAAGACTGGGAAAAACACCTGATATCAGCTCTGGCCTTCACACGCACGTTCACATACGTGAACATGCATCCTCATGTCTAAAAGCATGTACCATATAATACACACGTGATGTTTTCATTTTTATTATTATTGTATGTGGCCATTAGTTTTGTGTTGGCTGGAGGACAACTTTGAAGACTCTGCTCTCTCCTTTCCCTTCTACAGTGGTTCTAGTGATCAAAATCTGGTCAGGGGTTTTGCAGCAAGTGCCTTACCCAATGAGTGATGTGGTCTCACATACACACTTTAAAAAAAATTTTAAAAAGTAACTTTCTAGATAGTGTTTTAAAATTTTTCTTAGTGTTGTTTATGCCATCCTGATGGTTTTGGCTTCTCTGTGTTCTTTCAGCTGAAAATGCTTTTTAATTTCACATTTGATTTTTTTTCTGTCTTAGTTGGTGTTTCTATTCTTGTGAAGAGACACAATGACCACAGCAACTCTTTTAAGGAAAACCTTTAATTAGGGCTGGCTTCAGAGGTTTAGTCCATTGTCAATGTTGGAGAAAAGATGGTGGCAGACAAACATGTTGGATTAACTCAGGGTTGTGTGTGTGTTTTGTTTTTATTTTGTTTATTTTTTATTGTTGGTTTCTCAACTGTAAACCTTTGGGTGTTTTGTGGCATAATGTATTTTATATATGTATTTTAATGTACACTATGGAGTACATACCTCAGATTTATTGTTGCTGGGCTAGGGCAATCTACTGCTCCATGTGCGGCATAAAAGTTAGAAAACTTCATCTCTATTATCATATAGTTTAGTTGTATATAAATTATAAGCTCTATAATACACTCCTTGTATTTAAACATTGAATTATTTTATAAAGTGTCTAATCGTAAAAATTCTCATATTTGCCATGTAAGTACATTTTAATTTCTTTGTATAGATCCCACCTGGTATTATTTTTCTGCTGCTTAGATGATTTCCTTTCAAACTTTCATACTATAGGCTTACTGGTGAAGTCTTCCAGTTTTCATGTATTTGAAAACATTTGTATTTTATCTATTTTTTTTTCCCAGAGTGAATCTTGCATGCTGCGATTGGCATCCTGTTTAATGTGTGGATGGTATTTCTAACCACAACCCCAAACATTCAAATCCAGTGCTTATGCGATATTTATCTATGATTACTCCCCTGGCTTAGTTTTCCTTTCGACTACTATAGTTTGCATCCATACAAGTTCAATTTGAGTATGGTTTTTGAAGTGCTCTTATCTATATCCACCTTTTTGAATATTTGAAATATTTCAAAAACAGTTGTAATAACTGTTATGACGTTGATCTGCAGACTCAGTGAGGGAGATAGCTGGTGCAGATGCATTATGGGATGGAGCCCTTAGGGACATGAGGCCTGGTTGGTACTTGTTGGTCCGTGGAGGATGTGGGACTTTAAGGCTTATGACCTAATCTGATTTTTAGTCTGGTTTTTTTTTTTTTCTGCTTCCTGTTCCACTAAGATGCAGGATGAAGACACCACGTGCCAAGCTACCACCCCCACAGTTTCTATGCTCCACCATGACTGAGTCAATACCTCTGAGACTGTGAGCCAAAATGAAACTCTCCTTTTTTACCTCTGTCGTGTCTGTTGTCACACCGATAAGAAGAGTGCCTATGCCAATGCACTTGCTGTTAATACTAACACCTCTTAGTCTTGAGTCAGTTCTGACTCATAAAGGATCATGTTTTCCTTATACTTTGAATATCTGGTAATGGGGCATTAGATGCCAGGCATTGGATGACTGGATGTTGAGTGGTTTGGTTTCTCTATCTTGGGCTTTTCTCTGGAGGCAATTGAGTTATTGAGAAACAGGTCGAAGCTCTCGAGTACAGACTTGTGAAGTGGACCTGTCTGGAGCCATGTTTGGTCTGGGGGGGGGGTGATTATTTCCCACTACCGAGTAATGGTCTCTACAGATATTCTTTCTACTATGCCCCAAATTTGATTTTTTCCCCCAATTGGGTGAAGGGGGCTATATTCTTGACTTCTGATAAACAATGGCTGCTATTATCTAATATAATCCTTTCAAAGTTCCCCCTTCAGCACCGTGTGGTATATCTTCATACGCGTGACATGAAGACTCAGCCCATACAAGGGAACCCCTCCACGTCTCCAGGCTTCACTCTGTGCCCCCATCTCTTCTCTGGCTCTCTTTTCTGGAAACTCTAGCTGCCTGGTCTTTTTGACTCTTACCTCCATCCCCTTTCCCCAGGGAGTCCACCAGCCTCTGCCTGGGTTTCCATTTCAGGACAAAAGCGAGTCTCACTTCATTTGGTTCTCATCTTGCCTGGCTCTCTGTTAGCCATGGCCTGAAAATCAACTCATTAAGGTTCTTGTCTCATGTAGTTTGCCTTGTGTGGTGTGTGTGTGTGTGTGTGTGTGTGTGTGTGTGTGTGTTAGCATCAGGCAAAGGAAAAGATACCTTCTTGGTGCTCCATCCTGGGCAGACGCGGACTTCTTCAAACAACATATCCTCGTGTGTACTTCAGATGCCTCCACAGTTTCTGACTGACAGACAAATGAGACACTGGAAGGGCTGAAGGTGGGAGCCCACAGCTAGCCTGTCTCTGTCTATGTGGACCCTGGAGGAGGGCACACAGTCCTCGTCTATTACAAAAGAGATTCTAATAGAATCTTTCCAGCATAGAGCATTGCTTGAGGGTAATTGTATTATGAGCACTGATGGGAATTATAATCGCAATTATGCCAATTTCGGTATTTACTGCCCAGGGTGGCGAGCCCTTGAGCAATTAGAATTTATTAATGTGTAAGTGTAGCTACTTACACATACCTCTGCTTTAGAAACACTACTTCCTATGGTACTTACTTTTAAAATGTCCAATAAGACATATATTCTTACAGAAGGCTTTTTGTGTCTATTTTTCTGTGACAGAACAAAAAAGGGAAATGCGCCTCATGTCTGGTTTTACTCATCTACCAGATAACCAGGCCTCTGTGATGTCCCTTAAAAAGATTTCAGAGAATGTTTTCGGAAGAAACTCCCCAGGCCTGGCTCAGAACTCTGAAAGGATTTGCTCACATCCTATGTGGCAGCAAATAAGGGATCTGACCACGTGAGAAGAGGACGACAATCAGGACAGGAACTTGGGCACCTACAAGATTTCTTTATACTTTTGAAATTTATTTGGTTAACCATAGAACGCTAATAGGTCACATGGATGTAGAACTAGCTGGAGGTGGATTCGAATGTTTGCCTTATTGTCGCAGTAAAATGAACCACAGAAGTGCCCTGGCTTGCCCCAAGTCCTTACATTTCTCTTGCCCCAACCTTCCCACCGTCCTGGGTCCAGGTCTTCATGCTGGCCTGAGCTTCCCAGAGACCCTGTGTTGCTCATCAAGATGTTCACAGTGGAGGCTAATGGATCTCTCAGGTGTCAGTGGCCCGTTTCTTCAGGCCTGGAGCCCCTGGCTCATCTACTAGAGAAGATAAAGGATTTCTCAGCTGTCCTGTGGCTGCCTGTGGGGTTCAGGTGGGAGGTACAGTCATGCCTGGGAAGGAAATTGTAACCCTCTTATTGATGATTCTTTTTGTGGTGCTCTTATTTTCTTTAGCTTTGGCTGTTGCTGCTGCTTGAGAATGCCGCTTTCCCCACGTCTTGTTTGCTCTTTAAGCTTCACAGTATGCATGATATATCTATCAGTTATAACAAAACACATATGCAATTGGTAAATACATACACTGAATTACAAATATGTCTAAAAGTCTAACATGCTAAACTCGTGATTGGTTTCGGAAGCTCACACACAATGGCATATACCACGCAGTCTAAGGATGAGAGAGGCTGTATTTTTAAAAAAATTTTCTCTCTCGTGATCCCCTTTTGTCTGAGAAATTTTTTATGTAACTCTGAGTATTTAAGTGTATAAAGTAGATATTCAAAGCAAAGGTTTATGGATAATGAAATACACTTAGCATACTTCTAATTTTACCATCCACTAACAACGGGAACAAAACAGCCTACTAATGAGACAGAGGCATGCACTTGTTTTTGCACAAAGAATTAAATTTTGGCTGAGCATTTGACGCTGCCGGAGGCAGAGCATTTTCAATATTTTTCAGAGTTGACTGATGTTTCAATTTTATAATCATGCACGCTGACGACGCTGCTTTGCATAAATCCATGGCACGAACGGCAGCTGTGTATCCCCAGCCACTTCAGAAATGGTTGGAAATTCTGCCCTAAATTTAAGCCTTGGACTTTTATCGCAACTCAAGTGAGCCCCTTAAACAGCCAATTTTTGAAGTCAAACATTCCAATAGAATGCATCCTCAAAATATACTAACGTGACACCCACCTGCTGAGGAATGATGGTAAGAAAATATTAAACGTCTCGGTTTTCTGTAATTAAACCATTGTGTTTCTGTAAGAGCGGAAAACAAGCGTTAAAGTACTGTAAAACAACAACAACTCTTCACGACATCACACGTGATATCCTAGAATCTGGGCTGAAGGATTCCGGCA